GGTTAAGTAAAAAATGTAATTATTATGCGAGAAAAATGTGAAAGCGATGCTAAAGCAGGATCCGTGCACAAAAACAAGCAAGCTTTTCCGATGAAGAACTGCTTCCACTAGTTTGTCTTTTTGTCTAGTTCTGGTCCCTACCGTATAGACGTGACTAGTTTATTTTCTGTATTTCTGTGGTGCATTGAACTTAATTTTTTTGGAACGTTAAAAAAGTAATATATAACCATAGAAAGATTTTTAGAGTTTTTAGTAAATTCCACGGTTTAAACTTGAAAATTTTCAAAATCAACCTTTTAATTAGATTTTAAATTAAACCAAGAGAAAGTTATTAAGATTTAACTTTATCATTTAGGCAAATTAAAAAAATAATTAAAGAAAAAATAATAAATTAGGTTATGACTTCAATTAAATTTTTTAAATTATTATATAAATAAAATATAAAAATTTATTTATCATCAATTTAAAATTAAAAAAAATAAAAAATAAAACTGAATGATAAAAGGATAAATTAAAAAAAAAACTAAAAGATTTAGCGCCAAAAAAAAAAGAGCAACAAAAAAAAAACGGTTAAGAAAAGATATTAACATGGTCAATTGATCATACGAACCCCGGAGCATTTTACTGTCATCAGGATCTAGTGAGGTAGCCCATTGTTCTTTGAAACCCAATAAAACTCTTGTCTGTTTAACGAGATCAACAAATTTGGAGACCGCAGACCATTTAACTCATGGCGCCAATGGGCCCTGTGGTAATCAGTTTAGGACATTTTCACATGTTCTCCTCTAATGATATATCCATCAATATTGACCCTTCGTTACATTTCTCCTATAATGATATATATATATATGTTATTTTGAAAAACTCATTCAGCCATGAATGTTTTGAAATGACCAGAGGGAAACTATTAGAGGACAGGTAAAACTAATGGGAGTAGCTTTGAATTCTATATAATTGTTGGACCTAACCATTTTGGATATGGAAAGATTGGTGTAACTTGCTATTATTTTTTTTAATATTATTTATGTGAGTGTTCGGATTAGCTTGCGCATACCATGATTAATGTCACAGTCCACTGAATATCCTATAAACTCAATAAACATGTAAAATATCATGAGGATGACAGGCGTACATATAAGAACTCAAACCCAGAAATAATGGAAGGAGACAAGTCTTTCCTACTACTAGGCAATAACCCTTAATGGAAACAACTTGTTATTATTATGGTAAGGTGCGGTTGTTATTGCATTGAAAAGAAAATTTGATATTTTTTAAATTATTTTGATAAGTTGATGTTAAAAATAAATTTTAAAAAATAAAAAAAATGAGTACACTGGAAACAATAATTTAGGATAACATGAAAATTAATCAGATTCATCTTAATTAAAGTACTGATTAGAGCAAGAATTTTTTTTAAAACAAAAATCATATTCGGGAATAAACTCAAAATAATAGTGATGATTTGGATCGTAGTGGGACTTGACAGCAAGTCCCTTGAATGTTTCTATACATCTTTCCTTTTCTGCTTTGCTTTCTTTTCTACTCATTTCTAATATTTTGTGACGCTATGCATAACTTTAATTCTTTGCTCTGACTTGTTTGGTAGTTTTTCGATATTTTTCTAATTTTATATTTGTTTTTTATTATAAAAGTGTTTTATAAAAAATATTAATATTTTTAAATTTTTTCCAATTTTTTTAATATATTAATATAAAAATAAATTTTTTAAAATAAATTTTTTAAAATAAAAAAGTATTATTTTAATATTTTAAAATAAAATTCATTTTAAAATACAACCATTTTTATACTTTTAGACCGTTTGTTGGCTCTGAGACCTTTAAAAGCAAATTGTATAAACAATACATTTGATAACATTAAAACTCAACTTACTTTGTATGTTGGGCCTATTGAAATCGCCAGTTTGTGAAAAGTAGCTGAGACACGACCATGTCTATACTAGGTGAAGTAATTCATCTGGGAATTGTTCAGTTCAAGAATTGAACAGTATCACGGTGAATTAATTCACTTGGATACTGTTTACGTGAAAAGTGTCTTAATTATTTTTGTATAATGTTTAGTATTTTTTTAATTATATTTTACTTGAAAAACTAGTATTTAATATTATTCAATAACAATATATAAATTAGAAGGATATCGTATGATAATATAACATTTATAAAATTTAATTGCAATTTTAATTTTATTTCTAATAATATTTTACTTAATTTTGTTGCATGCTCAAAATACTATGAAAATTATAGTTCTTATCGAATAAATTTTATACATGATGAAATAAGATAAGTTAATGAAATAATGAAAAATATTTGATATAAAGTATTATTTATTTAATGATATAACAGTGATAGTTAAATCTATAATATTTAAATTAAAAACCATCAATATTAATATGTATCTTTTTTAGTTATTTTATAACCTTAATTTGAAAAATATTTTTAACCAAATACATTAAACTACTTTTTATTTAACTTTAATTTTAATCATAGTTTTAACTAAACATATATTTTTTCAAACTAACTTCAATTAAAAATATTTTTTATAAAATAGTTTTTTTTAAACCATAAGAGCTACTACAATATTAAATACACCCTATCAATTGGATTATTAGAACAAACAAGCACCCTTACATAGCTAGAAACTAATACTACTAAAGATACTTTAAGATATTTTGACTCGAAGAAAATACCACAGTTAAAATTTGAAAACATTAATATCCTGTGTCAAAATGCATAATCTCCAAGCCATGGACCCTTGAATTTTGTCCTCGAGAATCAAACTATAAATTATGCTCCAACCTTATCTTAGTTAATATTTCATTGTATACACAAACTCAAAACCTTATGAATTATTAGCATGTAATGATGTTTTTACTAACTTCTTGTTATGGGGGGTATTGGAGGTAATATTTTTTTTTAAGTTACATTAGTTATTATTAAATGAATTAGAATTGTTAAATTATCCTTAAATGAAAAGTTTATATAATTGGCTCTAAAGTACTTTTTTACTTTCAACCTTTTTAAGCGTCATAATATAACTAACTTATTCTTGAAGGAAAAACAATTAAACTGATATTTATAGTTTTTTTTGTATTTTTATCTTGATTTTTTAGTCATAATGAAGTTGATTGATGGCCAGTTTAGTAGTTTAATAATTATAAAATATTATTAAAAATTAAATTTGACTAGCTTAAATAACAAACATACTAACATATAAAAAGATTTCTCCGCTTTGAATAGTACATAAGGCATTCCTTTTTTACTTTCAACCTTTTTAAGCATCATAATATAACTAAATTATTCTTGAAGTAAAAACAATTAAACTGATATTTATAGGCTTTTTTGTATTTTCATCTTGATTTTTTAGTCATAATGAAGTTGATTGATGGTCAGTTTAGTAATTTAATAAATATAAAATATTATTAAAAATTAATTTTGACTAGATTAAATAACAAACATACTAACATATGAAAAGAGTTCTCCGCTTTGAATAGTACATAAGGCATTTTGCAGTAGTGTATAAATGTTGCCTTCTACAACAGCATTGGGATCGTCTTAACATCCTCTCCCTCCTTAGATGGTGTGTGGATTACTAGTATCTAGTTTGGTGGTAAGGACCTTTTTTTCTCTATCCTCCTTGATTTTAGCACTTTGACCCTCCAAATCTTTTAGGCAGCTCTTTAATATTTTTTCTTTTTCAATTTGATCTTTATTCTTTTGATTAATATTTTTTATTTGATATAATTTGTAAAATTATAAGTTTTTTTTAATTTTATCCTCTAATTATTTTTTTTATTTTCCTTCCAAGTATGATATTGGTAGGCTATTTTTTATAGTTAATTATTTCCAAAAAAAATGTTTACTTTATTTAATATTGATGTCTTTTTCAATTATATTGTTAAATTAACTGAACATATTAAACCTAATCAAGTTAATAATTTGAATCTCATATTTTTCTTTTTTTTTTAATATTAATATTACCTAAATATTTTTTTTATATTAAAAAATTTGACCAGACAACAGCACAGCACAAACTACCTCTCTTATTGTTCCCTAAAATTTGATGTTTTAAACCTGGTCATGTTGTTGCCATCATTAGGGGTTTTTATGATCCGATTTTTTCCGATTTTAACATTAAAATTCAACCAAACTAATATAACCTGAATCAAATCGAGAATCAGTTCAAACCGAATCAATTTTGTTCAATTCAAGTCAATTTTTTAACATAAAAACCAGGAAAACTAGGAACCAATGAAGATTTGTGGTGGCCTTTGTGAGTGTTGAGATGAGATTCCTTGATAATAAAAATAATAAAGTCAAATGTGGGCAAGAGATAAACTCGGCCGTTAAAGAGAATTATTCCTTCCTTGAATAGCCATGGACCTAAAGCTTCTCCCTTAATTTTCTTTACAAAGTCCTGCAAGTGTGGGTAGTCAAGATGTGGTGTCAAAGACTCAAAACTTAACACTAAGATTTAATGTTAACATATGAGAGAAAATGAGAAAGAAGAGCACAGGGGAGAGGGAGGGATGGGGAAGCAAGTTTCTTTCCGTGATCGACCCTCGAAAAGCGTTTGCAGCTTAGATTTAGTATTAGTTTTAGCTCTCTGGACTTAATTGTTTGGCACAGATCATTTTTCACTAGCTTCCTAGATCTTCTTCTTTGTTTTATTCTAACCCGAACTTTCTGCATGAGCTAGGAAGGCTAGGAAGAGGGGGAGAAAAGGGTTAAAATGATTCAGGATTAGAGATGTTTTTTTTTATATCTTTTTTAAAATTATTTAAATTAGTATGGTTTAGTCCCGTTAATTAATTTAAACTTTTTTAAACTAGAATCAAACCTAACCAAGTGATTTTTTATTTTTTAATTGGTTTATTTGATTTTTTCTATTGATTTGGTTTTTTCAATTAATTTCTTTTTAATTTTTTCGATTTAATTGGTTGGTCGGGTTTTTTTCACCCCAGCCATCATTGATTTGAATTCCCGTTAATCTACAAGCCCATTTCCATCCTTGTCAACTCCTTTCATCATCAGAAAACATTCCTCAGGATCACATTGCTTGGAACCTAGGCCAGTCAGTACCTGGTTCAGCTTCTTAGCTGATATAAATCCATTCTCATCGATGTCAAATATAAGAAAAGCATCCATAAGATCATCTTTCTCGCTGCCACAGTTAGTTATAACATTCAAAATATCATCCAAGTCAATGTATCCATCCCCATTTGAACCCAACCATCTAATAATTTTCTCAGCTTCTTTCTTGGCGGCACATTTCTTGTGCCCCAAAGAGACCAGTAATGCACTTAGCTCGAACAGGATATTTTTCCATCACCATTAGTGTCAATGAGTTTGAACACTTGCTTAAGCTAACTCGAAGCTTTCATGGCTGCAAAGCTAGATGAATGAAGTGATACCTTAAAGTCTCTTTTGTTGCTCCTATTCAATGTAAACTGATGAAGGAATTTTTACGCCACTTCCTCAATCTCCGTAAGCAAAGTTCATAGTGATTGACAAGATGGGGTATAGTATTGGTAATGGTATAATGGTGGGGAGTGGAAGCAAGGAATGATGAGATTTGCATATATGGCAATGATTGTTAATAAGAAAGGAGAAGGAAGAAGGCTGATTGGGTTCTCGGAATGAGAATATTTTGGTGGAGATGCATGTGATGTGGCTCTGTTTTAGTAGGCTGTCAACTTGATCATGAAGTTTCTAGAAACTAGAAAGGCCCTACAGACATACCAAAACTAACTCGTGTGTGGAAGGAGAGGTATCTGGCGGAAAGCATCTGCTGGAAACAATCTTTATGACCTTTGAGTGAATTGACATGTGATGATCCAGTACCAGTCAAACAAGAAGACGAGATCATTGGATTTGATTTATGGGTTATGTGAGCCTGTGACAAGTACCCAAACCAAGGTATTTCAGCACCTGTCATCATTACGGTCATGGTTATGTCCATGTAGCAGTGGAGTTCAGTAAATCCCTTGACATCTGACAATGGAGCCTGTGATTACCCTGTTAATTCAGGAAGGAGAGAAGAAAATGAGAATAGAAGGGAATCCAGTATTTGTTAAAAAAATTAAACATTACTATATGCTCACTCTCATAATTGAGAGGTGTGTGATCGTGGAATTCCACAGATTTCAAGCAGATTATGTTCTTATATTGTGATTACGGATGTGGGGGGAATCATTCTGTTGGAGTCTGGCCTAACCTATAAAACTACGAACCCTGCATCAGCATATTGGGATATGACTCCAAACTTGATTAGATATCTGATTTGAATTGATAGGAGAATATTGGCATATCAGCTCGGGAAAGAACTGAGAATTATAATTGATGCTGCAGTTTCGAATATATGGGATTGCTAACCCCCAAAATTGCCGTCATGTGATCTTGATCTTGCCGATACTCTGTTCATTTATGTTCTTCCTTTCTTTTTTTTCTTTCTTCTTTATTTTTTCCCCTCCTTAGCAAGGGCAACTTCCTTCATGTAAATGGTAAAAACAGAAATTTGTTCCTTACAACCTGCAAACATGGTACATCTTGTAACTATTGTACAGGGGGACATAAGTCCAGTCTCTTTCACAAAACTTTAGCATGATGAGGTCCTCATGCTCATCAATGAGTGTAGTATCCATGCACACGGAGCGCTGCAGCTACCCTCTCCATTTACTGGAAATGCAGAAAACTAGGTGATAAAATCAAATTTAATAAATTGAAAAAAAAAAAAAACCTTAAAAAAAACCATTACCAAAGGCTTGGGTACCACACCAAGCCCATCTGCTACCAAGATGCATGGGCATGGTAGCCTAGGACTCTGCTAGGCGGACACCAGTTTGTTGGGCGTGCTGCATCACTCATATGGACAAGAACCTCATCATTTACATGAGTTTAAGCTATTATGCTTATTATGCTTGAGGTAAATGTGTTCGAGTTAACGTGATTAGATTTATTTTTTATTTTTAATAAATTTATATACTTTGTTCGAGTTTAATATTTTTTTAAATTTTTTTTAAGGATCAGATCCCTTAATATTTTATATTAATTTAATATATATTATTTTAAATAAAATACAACTCCAAATATCACAATTATAAAATTTCATTTAAGCTCCTCCTCTCCAAAAAAAAAAATTAATAGATTATAAATACAACATAAATTTTTTAAATTTAAAGTTTATAATCTTTTTATTTTTAACATTCAGCATATATATTTTTAAAATTTATTTTTTTTAAATATCATTATATTTTTTTTCTTTATAAAATTACTAATTTAAACATCTAAAAGCCTCCACATCCGTTAAATCAGATATTTTATAAATACTAGTCACCCAAACTTATTAAGTATTACTAATTACCTGCCACCAACCTAATAAATTTTTCATATCAAACTATCAAATATTTTTTAAAAATAAATAAATCAAATTATTTAAATTAAATAATTATTTAATTATTTAATATATCAATTTTATTTATAATTGGATTTTGACAACTCATTACATGCAACTCATTACATTGTGCCCCTTCCTTTCCGTGAAAATGATTGATAGATTATAGATAAGCCTATCCTTGCTGTGTTGTGGTGCACTATGTGGCAGATCAAGGTTGCATTAACAAATTGCTGATAATTTGGTCATGATATATTTTTGGATACCAAAGGTACTAGATTCAAGTCTCGTTTTTTTATATGGTTTTTGAATTCTATTTCTTATGGTTATTAAGCATAAGACATCTTTTTTTAAATTAAAAAAAAAAGTTACTCAAATAACAGAGTAACCTAACATGGCCAGTTAAACAATGAAGATCTCAAACTCCCATAATTGTCTGTGTAATACAGCACTCTTTCTCTCATTTCTGATGAATATTTTATGGTGAAGTTTATTGACTTGTCAAAGCGATATTCATCATGCTTCTTAGTACATTCCTCGTCAGAAAGCAACGCAACATCTTAAATTCATCAAATCCCACTGGAATTAACTCCTTTATAAATATAATTATTCGTTTTTAAGATAACATGTTGCTTTTGTTTGTCCTTATCTATCAATCGCAAATCCTTTGCATAAAGGTTGCACTATGGCATAAAATGGAGCTTTATACATGGTACAGGTAACGAAATCATTTCGCATCTAGCTTTGTATGTTGAATGGGCATTTAGGTTTGATTCTTCCACTCCTAATACTCTAGATCCTGATGATATTAAGCTCAAATATACAAAATCTTAGGGACCTCATCATAAAATATTCATAACTCTAGAGTGTCACAGGCCTGTCATCACCAACGCTAAAAAAGAATGAAAAATCACGGGAGTGTGGATACTCAATCATAGAGATCCATTAAAGGATTATACCACTATGGAAGTAAGGTAGATATGCATGCTTTATATAAACGGGGAACAATTGGAAAGCAAAGTGGTCATTGTAAAGAAGAAAAGGAATCAATGATGTCTACTGTCCTTTCAAACCCTTCTTTACTCTTTCGTATTTGGAATTCTTGGACTGCATGCGTAAGGTTATAAACCATAGAGAATGGTATTGTGCATATATATGGTGAATTTCTTTGCGAAGCTGCTCTGTTTTGATTTTGCCTGCCATCATAAGAAAAGAAAGGAATAGGAGTCTGTGGAGGGTTGTTACCTGTTCAAGGCTTTCTACATTAGCATGAACAGAGGTAACTCGTCTTTGAAACTTATAGTTTTTGCCATTTAAGGATGTTTTTGTTGTCAAATGTGGTAAGACAACAATTATGACCATATGATGTGTCTCCACTCTCCATTTCTCTTTTCTCTGGCTTCTTTTTCCACATAAACTCAAGATGTAGATAAGAAGAAATCAAACTTGGTAATGTGGAGAAACTACCCTCAATGGTATACATGGTGCATGCATGAGATTGTTGACATAAGAAAGTAAGTGACGCAGATGGAAATAATATAAGAAAAACAAGTATAAAGAAAGACAAAATCTATTGAAAAGGGTTTCATTCACAAGAACCCTAATTCAAATTTGTATTGCAGAATATTTTTTTTCTGATCAAAACTTATTATTGAATCTCTTTTAGGCTACTTGTGCACTAGAAAAAACTTCTTAAATAAATCTTTAAAAATAAAAAAAAATTACATAATAAATAAAAATACATAACAAAACCCAAAAAGAAACTTATTGACCTAATTTGAGAGCCTTAACAACCTCATATGCTATCAAAATCACAACCCATAAGAAATAAAACCTCTAAAATCTCCAAGTAAAATGTTAGATAAATTCAATAATTAGATCAAAACTTATACCAGTTATCATAAGGTTATGTTTATGACTAAAAACATTTGCATTAATTTCCATATATTAAAAAAACTCATTTTTTATTTTAAATTATAATTACCTTCATCAATAAAATATTTAATCAAGTTTCTTCAACTCACTTTCTTTTCTTGTTTACGGTACATAACAATTCTAGATATCAATTTTAGTTCTTCATCAACATATATTATATCCATATAACTCTTAAACAAATCTATCTTTATAATAAAATATAGTAAATTTATAATAAAAAGAAAACCAGCATAGCTTAAATCAATAATTTCTTTTTTGTTTAAAACCTTTCTTAATTACTTTACACTAGATCTTTAATTTATTAATTTATTAATGAGAACACTATTAATGATATCATTATTGTTATTCTTGTCATTATTCATGCTACTATTTTTAATATAATTATCATCAAAATAATCATTATAAATTGACAAAAAATACTCATCTTATTATAAAAGAGACCGCTAAAGGCCACACCCTCTTCTATCACAGATCTTCACCATTAGAGTTTCTAACTTGCGACTTGCTTTTGGAGAACAGACAATGAAATGAAAGAGCTAGATGTTTATTTTCTTTTGGGAAAAAAAAAAAACAGAGATTGAATATAAAACACCTAGATAGTTAGTGCCTTTTAAATAATTGAAAGAAAAGCGTAAAGCCTTAGATATGATGGCCCTGAAAGTCTCTTTTGATTCCTCACGGTTCTGAACATTGATACCCATTTAGCCACCTCAAGTTGAAATGCCATTCAGGACCACTGCATTATTGCTCGACTCCTTTTCGTCAAATGCAGACCCGTTTTTTATCTTAGCCCTTCGAATTTTGAAGCTTCATCCATCGACCAGGACATCGCCCACCTATTTTTAGCCCCTCTTTTTTCTTCTGTTAATATCTTCTAGGTTTTGGTGCTTAGGAAATCCAGAGGCAGTATTTACATATCATATCAAAATCAAATCTCTACTTTGATCAGGACATAAATATAGTTGTTATTACAAGAGCACATTGGATCTGCTTCTCAGGAGGCTCAGATTTGCGTTTGTTGTTTAAAATATTAAAAGAAGAAGAAGAAGAAGAAACATGGATGCAACGGAGAGGCCGGTTCTTTGTGGAAAGGGACAAAACATACAATTTAACTCGTGCGGACATGTATGAGAACTTCCTCGTATTTTTAATGTCTTGTAAAATAATTTCAACCGAGAACGGTGACTAAATAATGCCTGGAGTATACTCCCTGTCTAAGTTCATAGTAATTTGTGACTCGTTAAGATTCCTGGGTTTACCAATATTCTATGAAATCTACAAAGCAATTCGTTTCATAATATTCTCTTATTTTCATTTTTTACTGCATCTATGGCTTCTTAGTAGGTCAGCCAAACATTCGAATTTTCTGGAGCCGAACATATTCCAATGCCAACACCAAAACACAAAAGAAATTATAACATGTAGATAATTAGTCGGTGATGCCATTGTTATCGAATGAAGGAGGCTCGTGGAAGATATGGGGAATATCGGAGGCGGACACAAAAGACAGTATATACCACTACATGTTCCGCTCGTTTTCTACATTCTTCTGGTGTTCCACTGGAAAATAAATTTAGCTATATGGACCTAGCTCGATATCAGTAGAAGAT